GTCTAGCGAAGCCATAAAAAAGAATTTTCAAAAAATAAATTTATTTTGGACATTTGTATACCAATGCCTTTCAACACACAAAAAATAAAGGAAATCTATTTTCCGAAGTCAAAGTCATCGGACCGCTCTTAGCGGGACTGCCACTTAATGCTTTAATGAAATACTCCTAAAACAGTATTAAACTACACTAGGAGGAGTTATACTTATATACTGAAAAACTAGATAATATAAGATTTATAGTTATTTACAAGAAAGACTTCATAATCACTGTATGACACATGTATTAGGCGGTAATTAGAATGATGTTGTTATATGCTATTAACAACAACAACGCCACGGCAAAAATGACAATAAAAACAACAACACTAAGACTACAGAACGAACACATAGTACGATACAAACGTTGTATTCACTCGATCTTTCCGAAATAGAGTGTATCGACTGAGGAATCTGGCACATTTGGAGTTGCATTGACATTATTAAGTTCAGCAACTTGTTGAATCTTCTCAACTTTCTTTGCGATTCCCCTAACATTTGATGATAGAGTGATAGGACAGTTGGTATATGTTGTATGATTTACGATAAGGGACCTTCCTTAGTGCTCTATGATGAACAGTATTTCTTAGAGGATTGACTCCTGTCTTAAAGGTGATGGGGGGAATGGGGGGGATGGGGATTGGCATGTGATTTCCATTAATGGCTTCGGGTGGGCCGCATATGAACCTTGTTTGGGGGATTTGTCCTCAAATACGGGTAGAAATTGCGTACGAAACATCTGTTGGTTGATCATTGGTTGAGCATAACGTGTGCCCTAGATTCTCTGTAGACATATTTGGAGCTGGTTCATTGACGTCATAACTTCCTGGAACTTGTCTAAAAAATTAGATGGACTTTGGAGATGTGTTGGATAACTGATATGTGGGGGCTGGGTCATAAACGGGCGGACGATTCTTTTGCCATGTGAAAAACCACATTTGGATCTTTTATACAAGAGCCTTTCCTTCTCAAGAACGGGCAAGGTATTGCACTTTTGGATGTATGAGAAATTTGACGACGTTTAGAACCAATTCCTGAATTTGAATGGGAGAAGTTACACTTACGCCCACTATCCCTGGTGTAATATGAAAGGGCACGCACTATTATTTTTAGGTTGGTTAAGGTTACCCTGATGCGTTATTTTCACCTTCGGGTCCGGTAGGCGATCAGTACGAATGCAATCATTATACGCTGTAATAGATAGAATGTTACCTTGGTTTGGTAGGTTTGTGTGTTTTTTTGTGGGTTTGTGTGGGGGTTTTTGTGGTTTTTAATTCTTGGTTTTAAATTTATAGGCACACTAATTGAATAATTATTTGCTCCATTGTGACAATTGTTTTGATTCGGGACAAGTGCTTTGTGGTTTTGAGTAAATTCTGACTTTGGTGTTGATTCATTGTTTAATTTATTAGGGGAATTCAATAAATAATTCTTTGCTTCATCATAGCTATTGTGGCGAGCGCTTTGAGATTTTGTGCAATTAAACTGTTCTCTTTTAATGGTTTGGTGATGATTGTTTATTTAAATTCGTAAGCACAACACTGAATAACTATTTACCTCATCGTGCCTATTGTTCGATGCAACGGCGGGCGCTTTGGAATTTTGCAAAATGCTCTCTTTTAACGTGTTTGTTGGTAGTTCCTTATTTACATTCGCAGGTACACTTAGCTATTGTTCGATTTGTCACAAATAAATACATGGAGGATTTAAAGTAGATTGAATAAAATTTCCAACTACTCAAACCCGATTTAAATAACAAATTTTCTTGTTTAAGCTCACTAGTGACTTCAGCTTGAACTTCAATGATGTTTACAATTTCTTAATATTTTTCCTGCAGCGATTCAATTGCAGACTTCGGTCGATTACCAGAAATAGGGCCCTCACAGCCTCTTTGCGCTTGTAGTATTGTTAAATCCAACTTCATACCTTCAAACTCAGCAGCAAGTTCTCTGTTTACACATATAATTACATAGTTTCACTATAGATCCTTCACTTGCTTGAGCAACCACATTATCGCTTATATCACTTGTCACAACTGTTTTCGCAATATCTTTTCTCCTTAGGCTGAGTTCCGACTCATCCAGGTATGGTTTAGGCCCGGTTGCTTAGTCTAGGGGGCTTTCACTTACTAAACTTGTTGGCAGCAAGTCACTAGCATTCTGCGACTGCAACGATCCCGGTTGCTGAGATACTTCAACGTACATGCTATTTTCGTCGTGTTTATTGTTTGCGATTAGTTTAGTTTATTCCTTACTATTTCCGTAGTCTGAGAATCACCTTGAAGCACTAACGAACGTAACACTGCTTGCTTGAGTACCATGTGGTGCTAAATTTCTGTTCAGATTCATATAAATCAATTGTTTTCCCAGATCCACTTGGTGATGACCATCTGCCACGTAAAGGCGGTTTTCCAGTCCTCGCATGAAGCTCATCGCAGCTCGCTGCGAGTGCTTGCATCTAATTCAAAATTAACTGTTTTGCATTGTGATTGGATGAAAGTGCTCATGCATGCAGTCGCAGCGAGCTGCGAGAAGCTTCGTGCGAGGACTGGAAAACCGCCTTAAGCCGATCAATTGTTCGCAAAATGTTTTCAGTTCTTCTAGCGAACGTACCATACCATTTCAATTTACCGTCGTCGACGGCAAGATGATTTAACATGCAATCCGCCTTCGTACTGTTCGTAGATGAGAGTAGTAATATAGGGGCCGATTGGGCCGGAGTTTTGAGGAGGAGGAGGAGTGAGGAGGAGGAGTGAGGAGAAATGAGGAGGAGGAGTGAAGGAGAAATGAGGAGGAGGAGGAGTGAGGAGAAATGAGGAGGAGGAGTGAGGAGAAATGAGGAGGAGGAGTGAAGGAGAAATGAGGAGGAGGAGTGAGGAGAAATGAGGAGGACGAGTGAGGAGGAGGAGTGAGGAGGAGGGGTGAGGAGGAGGAGTGAGGTGGTGTGAGGGAGTGGAGTTTGAGGTGGTGGATGTCCACCACCTCATTTATAATTAATATTCATACAAATAAGGGTGTGTAGTGACGTCACTCATCATTGGTATACGTCATAATTATATGCAATGACGTCATGCGGGCAAGTTTAAACAAGGACGGACAAAACTTGCTGACTAAGCATTTTTTAGCGTCTCTCCACGTGTGTGATACAATAGAGGGCTTAAAATTGGCTTACTATGAACTTTTATACAAGTGTCTGTATAAAATCGACAAGCGTCTTGTAATAAGCATAGTTCTGCATTTGACAACGCTTAATTCTACATCAGGTATGGCGTGTCTGCATGGTAAAATCACGTCTTACAATTTATTGGAAGGAATATATGCGAATTCAGTCGCAAAAGAAGTGGAAAGATTTTGTGTGGAATCCTGTAATGGTTGTCAAGTCTGTCATCCTAGTCAAAGACAACATGACTCCCTCATGATGAACGAAAACGAACGATGGCAAATGTATAGTTTACAAGCGATTGAACGAGTGAATGGTAAGCGTATGGTTTGGAATGAATTCGCTGAGGCAATGAGGGTACTAAAACTGGCGGTTGACAGAGATGTACTCGAACATTTACAACAATGGAAAAGGATCCAGATTCAACGTTTGTCGATTCATTGATGGAACTATATCAGAACACTGAGAACCACGAACTACAGTGTATACTGAACTATTTGTTTCATTGGAGATTAGAAGACCCGTTCCAGTCAGTAGATGAAACGTTTTTTCCGTACCCACCTAGTTACATGTATTATGTGAAGGCGACGGGTGAACGATTTAGAAGTTTTGAGGCAGATCATAAGAAGGCTTATCAAGAACTCATGGAGAAAAAACTTTTAGAACAGTTGTAATATATTTTGCCATAAAAATAAATATGTTTTTTATCAAATATGCGGTTGTTATATACGTTGCTATGTGTTACCAGTCATTAGCGATGCTTGGATGTATGCATATATTAAAGTACAACATATTTGTACACTAATCAGGCGGGCGGGTCGCGCGGGCGGGCTTTGTAGGTAAAGTTTGCACAATATTTCAGTTTTAAAATACATTTATTTCTTCAAAACGTTTTACAAAGTTATGCTTCTAATATATATCGTCACTTGTTTGAGACGTTTCGCTATCAGATTCATCATCATAACTGCTTTCATCATCGTAGCTGCTTTCATCTTCCGTAATCCATTTGGTAAGTCTTGGCGCTTCCAGTTTTAACCTCTTTGTGGTTGATAAATTACTGCGTTTGCCTTGCTTTCTCTTACTTCCGCGCCCTGCTTGAGTGCTTGGTGTAGTAGGGCTTCTGCTCCTTGTTCAGCAAAGTCTTTAACAACGTCACCTCCGTGAGTCTTTACAGATTCTCTAACATTTTTCACTTGGAGTACATCCTGACCAACTTCTGTGGCTGCTTGTAATACTCTTTTGCCAACAACTTTAGCACCTTGTTTGAATAGAGGGATAGCATATCTCGCAAGGCTCTTGAAAATGCCTCCGATCCCATAACCTCTTTGAAAACGTACTCCACGAAACCCAGCGATGTTTCCGCCACGTTGTTGTCTCAAGAAATGGTCTCTCAGTAGTTTTTTGTCTACAACAAGTGTACCTCTCGGCATGTTGATGTGTTCAGTTCAACTTCACACAATCAACTGATCAAATATCACTTTGGTCGCTTCGATCTTTAGACTCATGTTTGCCATGACGGTAAATTATAAAAATTCCACTTAGCTGTTCAATTGAAAGGATTAGTCCCTTCGTCCCTGTTCATTCATTAAGGTCTCCAAGTCGTGATTATCATTGATTTTGATTGCCCTTGCTTCTTTAGTCTTCTGGAGATAGATTGTAGTTTGTAGGATTGTAGGAGATAGATTTTAGTTAGGTGGAGATTTTCATCGGAAAAGACATTCGTGTAGTTTTGCCATCTTGTGCCGTGAGTTGTATCAGGGCCCATTTTCCTCCACACGGCCAAGAGGATGACTTTGTGTTTGTTGGGTTTTTGTTTTCCAGACGAGTAAGGTAAGGTACTTATTTCATAGTTAATAATGTTATTTGGCAATCATTTATCAATACGATATCATTGTCACCAAATTTGTGAGTACTTCATGTTCACTAATGTGCGCCACAGTCTATTGGTCATATTTCATTCTTGTTTTGTGTCAGTCAATTATTTCTTGTTTAGGTGGTTTAGGAATCGGAGCTATAATAATGCATTTTGCTTGTATGACTGGCTTATATTTCATTTTCCCCCTTCCTTAACCAAAAGAACATCTTTCATCATTGAATTTATAAATTCGTATAATCGTATGACTTAGACTCCTTGACTGGTTTTGCCACCCAGGTTTTTCTTTGCTTTGGGCAGAGAAAATTACCATGGTTCTGGAGTAATACATACTGGAATTAGTGATCACAGCATGATTTTCGCAATAAGGAAAATAAATTTTTTAAGTAAAACGTCATGTAAATATTGTTGAAATTAGAAACATGAAGAAATTCAATGATCTAAAATTTCTTAAGGATTTGCAAAATCAACCTTGGGATCATATTTATTATTTTCCAGATAATCCAAATACTATGTGGGAGATGTGGGAGATGTGGAGATAAAATCAAAAAGTGTCCCTTGGATTACAAGCAAAATTAAAATGCTCATAACCGAAAGAGATAAATTGAAAATAAAAGCAATTATTACTAAACAAGAATCTGATTGGCTCATTTATAAAAAAGCCAGAAATCAAACAAATACCGAATTAAGGAAAGCTAAAACAGACTATTTTTCTAAAAAGATTGCTAACCAAAAGTGCAATCCAAAGCAAGCTTGGAAGACTATTAATAGTTTGATCATAGTTTGACTATTAATATTTGTATTAAGCAAGTTGGATGAATCTAGCTGTGACTTTCAAAATTATACTAAAAGTTCTGAATCCGAGTTCACTGCATTTACACTAATTGCGGTAAACAAAATTTTTGATCTTTTAAGAGGGCTGTCTTGTAAAAAAGCATGTGGTGTTGACAAAATTTCCAGTAAAATTCTTAAATTAGCATCACCAGTTATCTCTGCTACACTTGCATATATTTTTAATCAAAGTATTACTCTTTGCAGCTTTCCAGATGAATGGAAAGTAGCTAGAGTTTTACCTCTTTATAAAAGTGGTCATCGTAATATTCCTGGTAATTACAGGCCAATATCGATACTACCAGTCATAAGCAAAATCATGGAAAGATTAAAGTATGACCAGCTGTATGATTATTTAACTAAAAACGAAATTCTCTCTGATAACCAATTTGGCTTTCGAAAGTTTCACTCTACCGCTACGTCCCTTTTAGATTCAACAAATAGTTGGTTTGTTAACATGGATCGAAAAATGTTTAACTTAGTAGCTTTTATAGATCTAAAAAAGCATTTGACACTGTAGATCACGAAATTCTACTTGAGAAAATGCAAATTTACGTTATTAAGGATAAGGCACATTTGTTGTTGAGATCATATCTTACTGATCGCACCCAAAAATGCCAAGTAAATGGTGTTGTCTTGTCTGAACACAAAGTTAAATGTGGTGTTCCTCAAGGCTCCATTTTAGGTCCTTTATTTTTCCTAATATACATAAATGATTTATCTGAATGCCTAAATAGGATAAAGCCAAAACTCTTTGCAGATGACACAAACCTCACTGCTTCCGGTGGTACAATTAATGATGTTGAAAATGCAGTGAACTCTGATTTGGAAAACCTCAGAATGTGGTTAAACGCGAACAAACTGAGCCTAAACATTTCCAAAACTGAATTTATGCTCATTGGATCAAGATCTCTAGTGCATACTGTTTCAGATTCAAATTTAAACATAATGATTGAAAACAGACCAATTAAACAAGTGAAGGAATGCAAGACACTAGGAGTAATAGTTGATCAGCATCTCTCTTGGAAAAGTAACACTGAAAGTATCTGTAAAGAAATCACATCAGCCATTTCTGTTATTAGAAAACTAAAAGAACTTGTTGACCGTGATGCACTTGTTTCTATATTTAATGCAATTGTACAACCATACTTTACTTATTGTTGCGAAGTGTGGGACATTTTTGGTGAAACTCAATCACAACGATTACAAAAGCTTCAAAATAGATGCGCTCGAATTATTATGGACATGGGCAATGAAGTTAATGCCCAAATTGCATTAAATTCGTTAGGATGGGAAACACTAAAAGTACAAAGAACTAAAGCTAAAGCAAAATTAATGTTCAAAATTTTGAATATGTCTGGGTCAAAAAGCCTAACAGACCTTTTTACCTACAAGAATGAGAATATCTCCGTGACAATGAAACAACACTCGTTTTGCCACGGCCCCGCACAAATAGCATGAAAAAGGGTTTATGTTTAATGGGACAAAATATGGAACTCAGTGCCTAAAGAAATCAGAGGAATTAGGTTCC